AGAGAAGCAAAGCCAGTTTGATTTACGTCAACGTGCACTTGTGTGAGTGTAGGGGTGGAGTGGGAGTCCAGCCTATCAACAGGGTCACGGCCTGATGATGCCTCTTTGGGGGTGAGACCTTTTTATAAGAGAGACACTGGGAACTCCTCCTCCTTTGTCCCTTTCCCTCTGTGTCTGCCTCCAGGGGTGGCCTGCCAATCTGGAGAGCTGTCAACACCCAACCATGCTCCCACTGATCTTAGATCTTCATGATACTGCATCCACGGGTCTGTGATCTCCCTGTACTGCTCTTTACTTTTCTACGCCATCAACCTGCAGCTGTGTGAGTCTGAAGAGGGGCCCCGGCTAGCATCAGACCTGTGGACTTCAATTGGACCTAACTGGGATGCCTTCTTGACATGAAGTCCTTTCTTATCCATATATAGTTGTCACTGGTTTTGTTTCCCTAGACAACCCAGCCTAACACAATGAGTATTTATAGAAAGGTTTACATCAAGGAGATGGCTTGCATAGTTATAGAGGTGGGCAAGTTCCCAGCCTGTGGATCAGATGTCAGGCTGAGGGCTTCTCCTGACTCATAGCTTCTGGGGCCAATGACCCCCAATCGGCAGGAAGATGACAGGCATCAGGCGACAGAGGTGAATAAATCTAAGGTCAGCAGGTCAGTTGGCAGGCTGCTGATGACTCCCAGTTTCAGCAGGCAGTATGGCAGACTGCTGGCTCAATTCCACAGAGCCTGAGTTTAGATGGTGAGCTAGATACAGGATCCAGACCCAGCAAAAAGCAAGCAAGCTTTCTAGCAGCCCTGCATGTAACCGCTATGCCACCAGGGCTTGCTCTTCACCAGTAGGTCCAAAGTAGCTTAGCTCAGCTCATGACATCTTGCATTGGGCAAATCTGTTGCAGAACACCTTGTGTTAGACTGGGTTGACTAGAGAAACAAATCCAGGGACCCTCATCTATGTGTAAGAGAGCACTTTATATCAAGAAGTAATTATCTATCAAGCAAACATCCCAGTCCAGATCAAGTCCATAAGTCTGACGCTACACGGTAAGTCTGATACTAGTCCATAAATCCCTCACCAGACTCACGCAGCCACATGCAGTGACGCAGAATGCAGGAAGATCACAGGCTGGTGGGTGCAAAGTCTTGTAGATCCATTGACGGTGGACGCATCTCCAGGCTGCCATCAGCGTGGCTCAAAGTGGCTCTCAACAGGAAGGTGAAGCATAGAGAGAGAGGGGGTGGGTGGGAGGTTCCCGGGACCCTCTTTATGAGAAGGCCACACCCACAAGGAGGCACCATCAGGCTGTGACCTCATTGACAGGCTAGACTCCGCCCCTTAACCCTATCAAGTTGCCATGAGATTATGTAACTACCACACACCTCTTGAACATGTGGAAGAGTAAAGGTGTCACCTTGTGGACTAGGGTGCGCCTGACCTAAGCCATGGTACTTTCACGTGCTTGTGAAAATCGGACAATGAAGAGCAAAGGAGAGTGGATGTCCTTGAAGTATGGTGTTGGAGAAGAATATTGATTTTTACCATGGACAGTCAGAAGAAGGCAGGGGAGGGGGGAATCGATCCTGGGGGGGGGCGGAAATACAGCCAGAATGCTTCTTAGAAGTGAGGATGAAAAGACTGTCTCGTGTACTTTGGACACGTTATTAAGAGGGATCAGTCCCTGGAAAAGGACATCGTGCTTGGTAAAGTCGAGGGGCAGCAAAGAGGAAGCCCCTCCATGAGACGGACTGACGACAGACCGACGCAGCGGCTGCATCACGGGGCTTGAACATCACAAGTGTGAGGACGACCAGGACCAAACAGAACAGTGTTGCCCATGAGGGCACTGACTAGAGGACACCTGACGGTCGGTCGCAACCAGTACTTCTAATTCAACGCCCACACGGCCCTGCGGCTCTCTGCCTTCCAGCAGCCGTGAAGGCAGACACGAAAGCAGGGACTTGCACACCGCAGCGCACCGCGGCACCTCCCACCAGGCGAGAACCAGCTGCGTGGCACACACCGAGGCCCGGATCCGCGTAGCGTGTGTCACAACCGTCCATGCAAACAAAATCCTGATGCACGCCCCAGCCCAGACCTCGAACACGGCATGCCGAGGGATGAGAAACCAGCAAAACCCAAGCCAAACTCATTGCCAGCGAGTCACTGCTGACGCCTCAGGGCCCTATGGGACAGGGCAGGACTGCCTCCGGGGGTTTCTGAGACTGCCACGCTTTATGGGAGTAGAAAGCCCCGTCTTTCACCTAAGGAGCGCCTGGTGATTTCAAACTGCTGACTGCGGATCACAGCCCAACCCGTAAGCGGGACACCCGTTGCAAAAGGGCAGATCCCCTATGATGTCAC